ATTATACAAAGGGGCATCGAAGTCGATCCTTCCAAAATCAAGGCCATACTAGAAATGCCACCACCAAGGACTGAAAAGGAGGTGCGAGGCTTTCTGGGTAAAGTGCAATTCATAAGACGGTTTATTGCAAAATTAACCTTGACTTGTGAACCACTATTTGGTCTCCTAAAGAATGGAAAGAAATTCCAATGGGATGATTGATGCCAGGTTGCTTTTGAGCAGATCAAGTAGTATCTACAGAATCCACCTGTGTTGTCACCGCTAGAGCTGGGAAAACCGTTGATTTTGTATCTGTCAGTAACCGACGCGACTATGGGCTGCATGCTTGCGTAGGAATCTGAGGATAAAGTAGAGAAGGCTATCTATTACCTAAGTAAGAAAATGTTGGAATATGAGACCCGTTACACTCCACTCGAGAAGGCTTGCTTGACCTTGGTATGGGCTACCAGGAAGTTGAGACACTACCTGTTAGCTCACTCCGTAATACTGGTTTCAAGATTAGATCCCATCGAATATTTCTTCGAGAAACCAGCACTTACGGGTAGGCTAGCCCGTTGGTTGCTTCTTCTCTTCGAGTTTGATTTGAAGTACATGACTCGCAAGTCTGTGAAAGGGAGAGCGGTAGCGGAGTTCCTAGCCGATCACCCAGTGAAGGGTGACGAAGCAGTAGAGTATCTGTTCCCAGATGAGGCCATTCTGTAGGTTGAAGAAGAAATCTGGACTATGTACTTTAACGGAGCGTCTAATTAGTACAGGTATGGGATAGGGGTGTTGCTGATAGCGCCTGACAAATCCCATATACCCTTAGCTTTCAAACTCCGGTTCAAGGTATCGAACAACGAATCAGAGTACAAGGCATGTATCGATGGCTTGGAAACCGCCCTGGAACTAGGAGAAAAACGGTTGGACGTCATTGGGGACTCGAACCTAGTTGTGTCTCAAGTGAAAGGAGACTGGAAGGTTAAAGAAGAAAGAATGAAAATCTATCACCAAACCCTGGACGTTCTAATTCCCAGATTTGATAAGCTAACCTTCACGCATCTGTTAGGAGAGAGCAACAGGTTCATTGACGGTTTATCAACTCTATCTTCCATGATAGACATCCCTTTGGAAGTCCAGATGCGTCCAATCATTATTGAACAGAGGTATGTGCCGGCCTACGAGCTGATCGCCGCAATTAATGAAGTACAAGATCAGAACCCTTGGTATCATGACATCTGGAACTTCTTGGAAAATGAGGCTTATCCACCAGGGGCAAATGCCAAAGATAAAAGAGCAATGAGTGGCTGCTCAGTTTATCATCTGCAGGGGTAAATTGTACAAATGGGGCCATCTAGGAATGCATAAACTGTGTGTTGATGTTGAAAAATCGAAGCGCCTAATGGAAGTCATCCACGGAGGAGAGTGCAGATCGCACATGAGCGAAGTGATGCTAGCTCAAAAAATTCTAAGACAGGGTTATTACTAGTCAACCATGGAGGAGGATTGTATTGGTTTTGTTCGGCCATGCCACAAATGCCAAATCCATGCAAATCGCATGAACATCCCGCCGTTGAAGCTGTACAACATGACTTCGTCATGGCCGTTTTCAATCTGGGGATTGATATTATTGGGACAGTTACTCCGAAGGGGTCAAACAGGCATGAGTACATCCTGGTGGCGATATACTACTTTACAAAGTGGGTCGAGGCCCAATCCTACATAGTGGTGAAAGCGTCACACGTAGCCAAGTTCCTCAGAAACAATATCATCTGTCGTTATGGGGTCCTGAATGAGATCATTTCGGACAATGGTTCCCACTTCAAGAAGGAGGTGATCGACTTGTTAGAGAAATACAATGTGACTTTTCATAAGTCATCCACATATCGGCCGCAAACCAACGGAGTTGTTGAGGCCGCCAACAAGAGCATCAAACACATTCTGTAGAAGATGGTGGAAACCTATAGGGACTGGCCAGATAAGCTGCTATTTGTTCTTTGGGGCTACCGAACATCAATTCAAACTTCTACTGGGGAAACTCCGTATTCCTTGGTTTATGGGATGGAGGCTGTTCTGCCAATCGAAGTTGAGGTTCCGTCACTGCGTGCTATGGCTGAGTGCCAGATCGCTGAAGTAGATTGGCAGCAGAGCAGGTTCGAAAAACTTATGCTATTCGATGAGAAGAGGCTGAAAGCACTGTACCATGTCCAAGGTTATCAACGTAGAATCGCCAGGGCTTTCAACAAGAAAGTTGAGTCCAGAAATCTGAAAGAAGGGGATTTGGTACTCAAACACAACCGAGCTCCCATCCATGAGCCTAGGGGCAAGTTCAGACCCAATTGGACTGGTCCTTACATCATCAAATCTATTTGGTCGGGTGGAGCTATTATTCTTATGGATTTAGATGGCCTTGAATTCTCCTAGCCAGTCAACATGGACAAGTTGAAGAAATACTACCCTTGAGTGGCTCGCTAGGCCGAAAACCCGAAAGGGCAACCTAGGCAAAAGTTAGAGCACAAAAAAATTAGAAATAAGAAAAACTGAGCTCACAAGGTTGAAAACCAAAAAATGGCGGCCTTGGCAAAAGTTAGAGTGCAAAAGGAGAGTGTTAAAACCCAAGTGAACCCCAACCGAACTACGTAAGGCTTGATTCTCATCTTCGGGAAACGTAGGCAACTTCATTCTGAAGTCCAGACATAAACACTTCCAAATCAACTGTGTCCATGAGATTGTTCTGGTAATCTTTGTCTTTTCTGCATCCAAGAGTTCGGTTGTGATCTCCAGTGCAGTACAGTGCTATTTAGACAAAGGGCAACTTTCTAGTTATTGGATTCGGGGTTGTACATCTCAAGGATAGATTCCGGGCTTGTCCAATTGTGATCCATATCGAAAATGGTTTTGAAAAGTTTTAAGAAAAGTTGATTTTGTTCAAATTAATCTTTTTACAACTTAGACCATTTTTGGACCGAACGGAAAATTTTTAGTACCCACAACCTTCAATTCATTGATTTTAATACTGAGTTCTCCGACTCTTGATACAGATTGAAGTTGCTTTTTATTACATTCAAAAGGAAAACTTGAAAATATAGATTAAAGCAATAAACTTGGGGCATGGTTAAGTCAGGTGTTCCTGTGGAAGCTTCAGATGCCAAAGTAGGCCCAGTTTGTGCCTCATTTTCAAGCCAAGCTATGCATTCGCCAGAAAGGGCGCAACTGAAATTGGGAGCGAGGGTCAGAAGTTCTCTAGTCCTCCATGCAGTGGTATATCAAGCTAGTTGTGTGCCTCGAATCGGAAATGAAGCTGGATACTCTATCCCCTCTTCTGGACAAGTCTGATCATGTCCGAACTGATGCCAGAATCGGAATGAGAAGTAGAAAACATAGTGTGTCAAGCCAACCAACCAAATGCCAGGCTACCGGGACATGCTGTAGCTCATCTCAGGCAGATCAAAACCAGGGGCAACGCCAAGCAATGTCAACAGCAGATCTGTTGCACATCCAGTGGCACCACCATTCCTCGTTCGGGAAATCGACTAGTCATGGACGGAAGAAATAACCGCGCGCTAAATACACAGCACAAAAGTCCACCACTTTTAACCTATCCATCAGCCATACCTAGGAAGGGATGAAAAATAAGAGAGATTAAAGAATAGAGAGGTGTACGTGGAGAGAAAAAGTGAGAAAGGGTTTTGAGGGAAAAACAGAGCCTGAGGGCCGAGTGATGTGAGAAACACATGTGAGAAGGGTGGGAAGTACTACCTGCAAGAGTAGTGGACTTCCTGCAAACTAGGTTGTCTCATGGCGATGGAAAGTATCCAAACCCATCAAAGTCTCGGCTAGTGTCAAGCCAATGCAACTTTTGCCCTCTTTCAAGCCTTAGGCAACTTCGATCAAGCGAATGCTAGACCCTCCGAAGCCAGGGGCAAGCAGAAAATGGGCTAACATACACAAGCAAAGGGCATGCTGCCAAAAACTTTGCCAAAGACGATCGCCGCGGTCACCAGCATCAGAAAACCGATAAATGAGGTTGGGGATGTCCAACTCCCCGTTGTGAACCAAAGAATAGGCATCCTGTAAAGTGAGCCTGCACATCCTTCCCAAAGCCTAGATGTGGCCAAAACGAGACTGGGGGCAAGACCTCGTCGTCACGCTGGGATTCCATCAAAACTTGGAACTCTTCGATTATGGGACATAGCTCTTGTCCGCCAAACCTGAAAACATGGATAACCGGATTCCAACATCTAGCAGCGGCATGGAGGAATGGAAAACACAACGGAGTATGGCTCAGTGGGAATAGTACATTTAGCCTGAAACCCCAGAAATTTAACTTTTCTGAGCCATCCAAATTCACAATCCAATCGGAGATTTTTTCGAAAAAGAATGGTTCCATTTGAAGCAAAAATAGAGCTGAATTGAAGAAACCACGAAGCTGGAGCTTTTGTAGAAGATAAGGCACTGAGTGGAAGACAGGTGGCAGCAATCTGGAGGTTCTCTGCACTGCTGGCCGACCGGCCAGTTAAGGTAGCCGGCCGGCCACCTTTTGTGGCCGACCGACCACTTTAGTGGCCGACAATTACCACTAAGTGGCTAACAGCCACTGTTTGTCTATAGCAGCATGCCTTTGGCCTTCCTGTGTGTTGAGGATGCTAAAAACCTATGTTTTGTTCTACTCTGGATGTGTCCTGCTGTTTTGGTTCGCAGTTGTATTTATTTTGTTTATCGAGTTTGTTGCAATTTGTTTATCGAGTTTGTTGCAATTTGTTTACCGAGTTGTTACAATTTGCTTATCGAGTTGTATTTGTTTCGTTTATCGAGTTGTTGTCGTTTGCTTATCGAGTTGTTCTTTAAGTTGTTTTATCTTGTTTGTTATGTTTTAGTTGGTTCACTACCTAACTAAGTAATTGTCAAGATAATATACAAATATTCAATTTTCATCAATCCCGTTTTTGTGTAAAATGGTGCGATGCGTTACTTAGAATATGAAATACAACCTATTTTTAATCAAAAATGACTATTTTCATTCCAATCACGGTTTCTTTTTACAAAGCGTATAAGTTTTAAAGAAAATAAAACTGCCTAAGGCCGTACAATGTGCTAACACTACTAGCAGAAAAAAGAAACAAAGCAAAAAACATCTGAATCGATGTCACCCATCTCAGGATCGAGAGGCTCTCTTCGTTCTCTTCCTTGGCTGTGTGGACTTAGAGCTATCACCATCGGTGCCGCTGTCTGAATCTAAGACGAAGCTAGAACTAGAGCTGCCTCCAATCCCATCCTGGTAGCCCACTTCAGCATCGTTGCCACCATCAGAACCCGAGCCGGTGCCGTCGCCTACACCTTCGGATGACTCTGACTGAGGACTCATTGGCCCCTCGTCCTCTCTGGTCTCGTCATCGTCATCATGTATGACAGGCTCTCGACGTCTCCTTCGGCTGCGTACTGGAATCTCTCTCCCTGCTACTAGAAAAGGCTCTGAGGGTCCAGTCTGTAAGGGTGTGACCTGAAAAGGCAGTTTGAATATATCAGCCATAGTATAGGTATCAAATACAAGTATGGTGTGCAGAGTGAGTACATATAGAAATTAGATACAATATGTGAATGTAGTGTGTCAGATGCGATTTGTACATGCAGTGTATCAGTGCAATAGGAAAATGTGCAATTGTGATGTCAGTTTCAGTATATCAGCAAAAATATGATAATCGAAATGCATGAAAAATTGAAAAATTACCTAAATGCCGTAAGAGTTCAGCATCATCCCTCTCCTCAAGATCATGCCCTCAAATGAGGCCATCACCTCGAGTAACCCCTCGACATACTCTATAGAGGGCTGTAAATGCAAGTTGAAACCTTGAGTGTATGAATGAATAAGAATCTGAGCGAAAATGAAATGAATGAAAGCTGTAAAGTATACTGGTAGTGAGTCGAGTGTCTTGACATATCGGTGATCAAGCAACGGGGGCTCAAGTGGAATCTGATAAGGCACTCCGGAGTACCGCCAACCTATCAGCTCAGTTGGACGATCAGGCCATCTAACACTATGCCTAGTGTGAGGCATCTTTCTAGCCCCACCCCTCGGTGCCTGGGCCCTGCTTGTAGAATGAGCATTTGCTCCTCGGGCCTTGCTCGACGAGGCAATATCATCTATCCTCCCCATGTGAGCACGAACACCTATCAGATGAGGCATCAAGTATGTTTGGAGGTAAGTCGTATAGTCCTCATCCCCGATGAACCGATCTGCATCTGCGCCTCGCATGAAGTCAATAATCTCCTAAGGGGAGAGACTCTCTGTGGCCCGCATAGAAGGAGGAGGTAGTAAGGGGACTGACTGTAGTGGCAGGCCAAGTGTCTGGCGCATGAAGCGCTCACCAAGGAACCAGGCTTGGCCTACGTGTCCCTCTAGCACAAGCCGGTACCGGGAGGCGCCCTATACTCCGGCAAAATGAAATCTGGTCCCCTCTGGCATTGTCGCCCATGGCTGCCATGTGACCTACAGATAGCAAAGTGCATAGACTGGTGAGTTGTTATTAGATATGTAAAATGAATTGAAGCTAAAAGTAGGAAAAACTGTGAGTTTTGAATTACCTCTACCGTCCTCGCTATGTCGAAGTACTGACAAAGGTAGGGGAGGGTCTCTCGGGCTCTCAGCTGGCACCAACCGTCATATCGATGCAAATATGGTACCTCGAGAGGAGTCTCAACCTCTAGCTCGAGAGCAAGTGCTGGGAAATAGGCGTATACCCATAGTTGTGGAAAGCAAGACAGTGGCAGTGAGAATACAAATGAACACAAATCATACAGAAAATAGAGTATGTGTGCAATCTAGAAAATGCAGAAAGCAAAGGGTGGCACAGTGTATAGAAAGTACAAGTGCAGAGCAGAGATTAGACTATGCGTGTGCAGTGTGCGGTGTATGCAGTGTGCAAAAAGTGCAAAGCAGAAAACACGGCAGAAAATGTAAAACTGAAAAGTAAAGCATACCTCACAGGCTCTCCAATAGCCACCCACTCTGTTCTTACTCCTGCAAGAGGTCGAGCTCACATAGCAGTATAAAGTGGCGAGGCCAGGGCCACCCCAATCATAATGACGAACCTGGGATAGGTCCACTAAAGCACTCAGAAGATACAGCCCGACTGTGTTCGCCCTGTCGGCGAACAAGGTAGTGCCAAAGAGGAACATCAAGAAACCTCGGGCGTACTGCTCTGTAGCCTCGATCGTCACGGGCTCAGTCCCTCTGAAGTGGTCTGAAAACCAAGTGTATCTGACCATACCTGATCGAAAAATAGGAGGGCGTGCTTCCAGCAGATAGATCCAAGCGGCCTCCCACTCATCCATGTCGGAGTCGTATGGGATCGGCCGACCCCCCACCTCAAGGCCCGTCAACATAGTGAAATCATACGAGGTCATCGTCATGTCCCCGGCGGTAGAGAAATGGAAGGAGTTGGTGGTGCCCCACCATCTCTCTACCAATGCGCCTAAGAGGGTCTTGCTCGCCATGTGACACGAGAGCCCCATGCAAAATAAGCCGAACCCCGCCTCATCAACGATCTGTCGGACGTCGTCGGGAAGGTCCATATACCACTCCCTCGTTACGGTCAACCCATATCCGCTGGTGAAATGAGAGTTTAGCTGTGTAAATGAGCAGATGAAATACAGTGCAAAGGTGTGAGCTATACGAGAAATGTAAATTACATCGCAAAAATGTAAAAGTGCGGTGTGTACCTTGGAGGCATCATGGGACAGATGAGACTCTGGCTCTCGTAGCAGAAGATTTGCAAGTGCGCGCCGTGCAAATCCAGTAAAGTGGCGGACTGTGCTAGGTGGTTGTATATGTGCCTCAGGGCGGTACCTCTCTGGGTCGAAAGGCTGGACTCTGGGCGGCAACGGTATATACTCCAGCTCCTCCTCCATCCTTGGAGAACCCCCGCCATGTGGAGCATCGTCTGCCATCTGCAAAGAAGGTGAAAAGTAGGCGAAAATGAGTAAAATGGGCGAAAAGTGCCAAAAATCAACTCTCGGAAAGAGAAAAAGTCAAAGAAAGTCAAAGCCGAGAAATGTGTACTTGGCCGTGTGCCTCGGTTCGGGACCGCCTAACCATCTCCGTTTGCTCTGATTTTTGGCATATATCTTATTTACTCCCTTTCAAGGGACACTGGTGTCTGAGAAACCCACTTCGTGGCCGAACGCCACTTTCGGTGCTTGACAGCCCATTTTCGGGACCCCGAACTGCGTGTTTTGGCCCCCGAGCATTCGTTTTGCATCAGTTTTCGTTCATTTTTGGCAGGTGCCTCTGTTTCATCACCAGGAAGGTCACTGGAGGGTGGGAGGCCAACAATTATCTTGGCAACCAGTTATATTCCATTTTCGCCCTCCGACACCCGTTTTTCCCACTTCCGAGCCAATGTTGAACACCTTGAGGCCACTTTCTTCAACCCCAAACCACATATTTGTGTTGTACACACATGGGAGGACCCTAAAAGTTTATGGCCAGCCATTAATTCCATTTGAACGTTTTGAACCCCTCCTCAAAATGGCTTTTTCTCCCTCCTATTTTAGAGTTTCCAAATTCGAACCACAGGGTTGTGAAGAGGAGACCTGGGAGGCCACCTTTTTGTGGTGGCCGGCCACTAAAGCAAGTTGACCCTTTTGACCCCTAGCCGGTCGGCTAGGGGGGGTGGCCGGCCGGCCACCTGCAAGCCCAAAAGGTGGCCGGCCATGTTCCTCATGCCTGGTACTTTACAGCTGTATAGCTGTTTCCCCCAGAAAAGATCTGTATCCGGGGGATATTTTGTGGGGGAAAGCCTTGGTCCTTTTCCCCCACCCTTTCCTTCCATGCTCCCCCTCCTTTTGGTCCTTATAACCAGCTGCAAGCATTGGTTTTGAGGGTTAGAAAAATTCATCTTCAAGCTTGGTATACAAAATTCTCCTCCATCTCTCTCATTTCCTTGAAAACCTCCAAGTCCAACACCACCATTTCTTCTACACCACCAACCCCCACCCTTCCATCCTCCATTCCAGAAGGTTGAAGGTGTTCTCCAAGGCCTAAGGGTGCTGCAAACTCAAGCCAAGAAGCATCCAAGACTTGTCTTCAAAGGTAAGTCCTATTTCCCCTCTTTTGAGCTTAATTTTGCAACATTTCTTAGCCATACATGCTTATTGTTTTGAGCTCCGGCCAAAACTGAAAAGGTCATTTTTTTGAGCTCATTTTCTTGTTTGTTGAAGGGTTCAACCCTATTTGAGAACCCCACCTCACACTTGTTTCAATATCCCTCCTTGGTCCCTTTTCTTGCATGTCTTGGCAGCCCCATTATGCTTCATTTTTGGGCATTTTACAGAGCTATAAAAAGTCTTATTTTGACCCTTCTTAACATGTTTTATTAAGGGTCTTTTCTTGTTTGATGAATTCTTTGTATACCTCATGTTATAGCCACTTTTTGAGCCTCATTTTGCATTGCATTTCTAGCATGTTTGTTATACTGTTTTGGGTTTTTTACAGTTCTGTAAATATGCATATTTTTGTCCCTCTTCAATGTTGTAGAAGGGGAATTTTTCAGTTTGGGCTTTGCATATACCACTTGCCTCTTTGGCCACCTTTTGGCCCTTTTTCTTGCATAAAAGCTTAGCCATATTTATGTTTGTTTTTATGGTTTTTACAGTTCTGTAAAGTGGCTTATTTTTGGCCCCTCTTCAATGTTTTTGAAGGGCCCTAACCTATTTGGAGTTAGCAGCTGTGAGTTGCTTCATAATCTCATGTTTAGGGCCATTTTTGCATGCCGTTGTTGCCCTATCTTTGCTGGCTGTTTGGCCATGATTTGTACTAGTAAAATTCTTATTTTGAGGCTGCCTTGCCCTGTCTTTTCATCTCATGTAACCAATTATGCATGCTTGTATAGCTGTAGTTCATTCTATGTCCTAAATTTTGCATTTCGGGAGAGATTCCATGCATCGGGTGTGTTTCGCCTCATTTCGGGGCTGTTTTCCCCCCACATTTCATTGCCTGAAAATCCATTAGCATGTTTTTTCCTATCATTTCCATCCATTGCATTGCATATGTCATTGCCTCGGTTTGCGTGCCCGTGTGCACGCATTTCGAAGGCACTTCATTTTCATTCACCGGCCTCTTATGTGAAGTGTGGCTGAGGCTCTCTCATGTTAGTATAAGTCCATGTTACATGCTATATGCCATTTTGCCATGTTGCATGCGTATTGCCATTGCCTCGGTTTGCGTGCCCGTGTGCACGCATTTCGAGGCACTCCATTTTCATCCACCGGCCTCTTATGTGAGTGTGGCTGAGGCTCTCTCATGTTAGTATAAGTCCATGTTGCATTTTATATGCCATTTTAGTCATATTGTATTGCGTATGCCATCGCCTCGGTTTGCGTGCCCTGTGCACGCATTTCGAGGCATCTCATTTTCACAGCATAGTGCATACTGGGTTGTATCTTAGATCGCATTCATGCATTTCCTCAGTTTGCGTGCCCGTGTGCATGCATCTCGAGGCATCTCATTTTCACAGCATAGTGCATACTAGGTTGTATCTTAGATCGCATTCATGCATTTTCTCGGTTGCGTGCCTGTGTGCACGTATTTCGAGGCATGGTCATTCCATAGCATTGTGTATGTTAGCATTGTATCTTAGTTGCATTTCATGCATGTCATGCATATTGCATCGTGTTCGGAATAGGAGTTAGCCCGGGCACGGGAAACGAGGTGCATTTCGTACTCCGAGTGACGGAATGTGTCTCAATTCCCCAGTCACCGACACTCCGGATCATCCATGATGGAGTTAGGTCTTGTTGTGATTTCATGTGCATTCATTCTATATTGAGTTGTGCAATTCGACTCCTCGGCCATCATGCCTCGGTATGCGTGATTGGTGGCACGAGGATCGAGGCATGCATATATTTGTAAAAATACATTGCTATGCCCATTTCCCTGCTCTCTGTTGCAGCAAAATGAAAGAATCAGCAGTCTTCCAGGGCTCGGCGCGCTTTCCAAGAATAAACTGCTAAACAGAGGCTAATTGGGGCATCCCGGTGGATTTCGCCGCAAGACAACCCGGACATGCATCATCCATCAGAAGCCCAGGCAATCCCCCTTTGTCCCTGCTTGCAATGGCCAGTTATTTATTTGCTTTCTTAGTTAATTCATTAATTAATTAGGAATTTGTATATTATTTGGACTGTAATATTTGGACTGTAATATTCTTTTATTTGGGACTGTATATTTATTCGGACCCTTTGCGCGAGGGCACAACTGTAATAAGTGTGCGTGAGTGTGATGTATGTCTTCCAATCCCACGTCTTTCTTCCCTTTTATTTACCTGCTTATGATGGTTAGATTAGGGCATGTTTAAATTAGCATACAGTATGATAGCATGTTTGCATTCATTCATCTGTTTTGCATGCACCGGGCTCGGCGCACCATACTAACCGCATTGTACTTTTAATTCCAAATTGAATACATGATAGTTGTAGCATTTCATATGCCATCTTAGAATAGCCGAGCCTGCTATAGTTGCATTTTGCATGTGTTGCATTAGGCATTTCTGTATACTTAGGATTTATGCATGATTTCTAATGAGTCTTTGTTTTGGCTTGGAGTACCCGGTGAGCTTTATGCTTTAGCATCCTTGCATGCGTGTGAGTGACTGCCATGAATAGCATGCTTACCATGAGGCTAATTGCTTATGTGATATAACTGCCTGAATCCCTGTGGGTGAAGGTTGGGTTAGTTGGATTGGAATAAATCATCAAACGTCTTAAGCCCACTTGATAGTGGCAAAACCATCTTTTCTAAGCCCACCTGGGGGTGGCAAAATCTGCATTTTAAGCCTACTTGCGAGTAGCAAACCATCTTTCAAATAAACAAGCATGAAATGTTTTATTCCAATTCGGGCGACCCAGTCTATACTTATATGCTGTGTGCATCACATAGTAACCTAGGCTAATAACCGGAATAAGAACACACAAAGTTTTCAAAAATAGATATCACGGTTAGTAGAGGCCGATCTTTAATCGGGCGAGCGGGGGTGCTCACGAAGTGACCTTCCCCAATCGTACCCAAGTTCCCGAGCCGAGGCAACTTTGGTGATGACGGACACGTGGCCTTTGGCACCGAGTCAGGGTTTCCTAAATTTCCCATTAAAAAACATTTAGGTGGCGACTCTGTATCTGGCAAAGCAGTCCATGTTTGGCACTTCTTTCAAAAATCTGTTTTCTCAAAACGATTTGCCGGATTTGGACTCTTTGGTTCAGACTTAGAACCGTGACAAATTTGAGAGTCCTGAGCTGTAGTGACCCCAAAATGAACAGAACGGGAGCTCGTTCCTCCCGGGGCGTTCGGGGACGTCTACAGTACCTTGGAGGCATCATGGGACAGATGAGACTCTGGCTCTCGTAGCAGAAGATTTGCAGGTGCGCGCCGTGCAAATCCAGTAAAGTGGCGGACTGTGCTAGGTGGTTGTATATGGGCCTCAGGGCGGTACCTCTCTCGGTCGAAAGGCCGGACTCTGGGCGGCAACGGTATATACTCCTGCTCCTCCTCCATCCTCGGAGAACCCCTGCCATGTGGAGCATCGTCTGCCATCTGAAAAGAAGGTGAAAAGTAGGCGAAAATGAGTAAAATGGGCGAAAAGTGCCAAAAATCAACTCTCGGAAAGAGAAAAAGTCAAAGAAAGTCACGAAAAGTGCCAAAAATCAACTCTCGGAAAGAGAAAAAGTCAAAGAAAGTCAAAGCCGAGAAATGTGTACTAACCTTGTGATAAACTTCAGGGAAACAATCCTCAAGTGGTGAAAATTGAGGAAAAAGCTCCGAAAACAAATTTTGATTGATTTAAAACGAAGGAAACCAAAAGGTTTTAGCGAATCAACTTCGCAAGGGGCGTTGGAAAACGCTTAAAAAGTACAAATTTGAGAGGAAAAAGTGTTTAGGGGTGAAGAACAAGAGGTTTCGGCACTGTGTGTGTGAGGAAAAGTGTTTTGGGATTGTGTTTTTAAAGATCCATATGCGAAAAGACTGAATTAGCCCGAATCAGCCACAACTGGCCGACCGGCCAATTTTTCTGGCCGACCAGCCACTTAGGTGGCTGACAGAAATGGTAAGTGACCGACATGCTTCCATGGTGGCCGGCAGGTGTCCAGTGTTCTCCCTGTGTGTTTTCAGGCTGTTTTGAGTCCTTGGCTCTCGAGAAAGTGCAAAAAAAAGTCCACTTTTCAGCTTAAAGTGTCTCTGTGGAAGTTTCAAAACATGTCTTCGATGTGTGACTCATCGTCAGCCAACATGAACGAGGTGTATCCTTTTGAAACACATTGTAACCCCTCCGAGAGGTAAATCAGAGGTTGCAACTGAATTGGTCTTGTTAAAGCGCGCATTTCTTTATTCGACATTTTGCATTGAACATGCTACGGATGTGCATTGAATAATGCGTTGTCATTATTGTGCACGGAATGTCTGTGTTGTGTTGCATTGCACTACACAAGTTCTTATGTTTGCGTAGAGTATGCTTGTCACGTTGTATTGCATTGTGCATGCTCTTACATTCGCGTAAAAATTGTTCGTACCTGTTGCATTGAACATGTATTCGGTGTTGCATAGAACATGCTCCACATTTCGTTGCATAGAACATGCTCTATTTCTTGCATGATGTGCATAAAGTATGCCTCTCTAAGAATTGTGTCATAGTCATTCGTCTTGCATAGAATGTACATTCTTATTGTATTATACTTGTCAAAGTTTCTTCCTTCTGCAGGCACGATGTTGTATGTACGGTTCATTCAAAGCTAGTGCAACCAAACGATATTGTATGTATGGTTCATTCAGAGGAATTCTGGGTAAGATCATTCTTGTCCTTTGAACACCTTGTTTTGGTTAGAAGTATTCGGGTACGCTCGGTGCTTACACCACTCCTCGTTGGTTAAAAATATTCGGGTACGCTTGGTGTTTACAATGACACCCTTCTTTGGTTAGAAGCGTTTGGGTCGTGTGCCTGACGTTTATACCTCATTGGTTAAAAATATTCAGGTACGCCCGGTGTTTACACCGACACCCTTCTTTGGTTAGAAGCGTTTGGGTCGTGTGCCCGACGTTCATACCTTGCCTTTGATTAGAAACACTCGGGTACGTCCGGTGTTTATACCACCCCTTTGGTTAGAAACACTCGGGTACACCCGGTGTTTATACCTCCCCTTTGGTTTAAAGCATTGGGTTATGTGCCTGATGTTTATACCACTCCTTCGGTTAGAAGCGTTTGTACTGTGTGCCTGACGATTATACCACCCCTTTAGTTAGAAGCGTTTAGACCGTGTGTTCGACGCTTATACCACCCCTTTGGTTAGAAGCGTTTAGATCGTGTTTCAACGCTTATACCATTCTGTTTTGATTAGAAACATTGGAATGTGCTCTAATGTTTATACCACCCTTCGATGTTTGCACCGCTCCTTTTTCCCTCTCATGCGCGGCGCGTTACGATGCTTTGGTTAAATGCATCTGGACGAATTCTGATGCTTATACCGCTCTTTGCTTCTATTACATAATGGTTGGATGTGTTTCAATTGTTATCACTGTTCTCTGTGGCTCAGAACTTAGGATGTGTCCTTAGGTTCGCACCACTTCTCTCCTCGCGTATGCCAAGCGTTGGGATCTTGTTTACCGCCTCAGGTGCACCCGACGGTTGATGTTTTTTGTCTTTCCTGCGTGAGGCGCAGTAAGCTTGCATAATTTTCTTACATCCTTTCTGCATGAAATGTTGTTTGGTTCGTGTTAACTTGCTTATGTACGAGTTTATTGTAGCATTTCTTTGCATAACATTTGCATCTTGATGTTTCATTACAGCCTTCATTGTATGATCATAAGTTATGTTCTGCATCATGAATTTCTTTTGCATCTTGCCCCAGAACTACGCTAGCTTGATTCCTTGCAAAGGGATACGTAGGCAGCCTGAGGGCGCAACCGTGCTTTGTTTTGTTTGCTTGTTTGTCTGAGTCTTCGGCCTAGTCAAAAATGGGTCATCTCTGAGCCTTGATATTCACTCTCATCATTTCATGACTTCCGAGTTCTGTCAAAGAGGGGTAACTGTAGACACCCTATTTTTGACCGACTTTAAGACTCAGACGTCATCATTTGTGCACTCGATGATTGTGCATGTTTGTGCTCGTTTTGAGTGCCCAAAATTCTTGGCGAATGTCTTGTCTTTGGGCCTCTAAAGCCTCATTGTTTTGTGCTTGCTTTTGGACTAAACCTTGTTGCCTCTTGCCTAGAGGGGGGGAAGGCCTTTTCGGCCACTTTTGGCACTTGTCGGCCACTTGAAATGGTCGGTCGGCTAGGGGAGGTGGCCGGCCAGCCACCTGAAGTGGCCGACGGCCATTTTTCTCATTTTTCAGATATTTTCTTTGCTAGCTGTGCCAGTTGTTGATCACTAAAGGCCATCTCCATACACATGTATGGAAGAATGGAAGCAAGCTTTTAGCTTGTATTTCCATATAAGGGGAGGTCTCTCCCCTATTTGAGGGGTTAGAAATTTTAAGAGCAAAATTTCCTCTCTCTCTCTCTCTCTCTCTCTCCCTATTTTGTGCCTGAAAATGAGTTTTCTCTACACATTTGCACTAGACCCTTGACCAAACACCTTCACCTTGGAGCATAGGTCTTTGGAGGCCTTGTTTGAGCTTCTCAAAGTGGTTTTAGCTCAGTATCTTTGTTGTTTGGTTACTGTGCTTCAAAGGTAATGCCTTACCCCTTTTAAGCTTTGCTTTAGTTACTTGTTGGCCATCTTTTCATGCTATTTTGAGGCTGGTTTTAACCTTTAAAAAACTCTATTTTTAAGGTTTTAAAATGGTGGTTTGAATCTTGTTTAGTTAGGGGGTGGTTTCCTCCATTTGCTCTTTGGCTTGAAAGCCTTTTGAGCCATTTTTCAAAGCTTTTGAAACCCCCTTTTCTTGGCCTTTTTACCACTGAATTTCAGGAGAATTTCAGTGGTAAAAAGTTGGTTTTGAGGTCCAAAATAAGAGGGGGTGGCCTCCCCTCCTTGTATCTTGTTTGCATATGTAGATGGCCTAAGATGTGAGCATATTTTTCTACCTCTTTATGACTTGATCGCAGCATGTTTTAGCTACTGATTTAGCATGTTTGAACTCTGTTTTGGGTGGTCTTGGTCATATGAGCTTAGCCTTGCATGGTTGTAGTGTAAATGGCTTTACTAGCTTTGTGTTTTAAGGCCTCTAACATATTTTGCATGAGATGATTGCATGCCATGGAATCATTTTACATGTGTTTTCAGCGCATATATCTCTGTCACACTCTCACTTAATTCACTCTTTCATTGCTTTTGAGAGTTGTGCTTTGTGTCTTGTTTGTGAGCCAACATGTGCGCATGATTTTCTTGCCCTTTATGCCTAAGTTTCAGCATGTTTTAGCCACTGTTTTGGCATGATTTAGCTCTGTCAAAAAATGGTTTGGTCATTTAAGCTTGATATTGCATGCCTCTAGTGTAGTGCTCTTCACTAGTTTTAATGCTTTTGGCCCTTAACATGTTGTGCATGTGCTACTTGCATGATTTAGTGTCATTTGTCATGCCATTTCAGCACTAAAAGTCTGCGACCTCCCTCATTTTTTCATTTTTTGATTTGTTTTGAGGGGTGGTTAACCTTATGATTGTGTTTAAGATTGAGATAGAGCTTGTACTCAATGGCTTTAACTTTCTTTTGAGGGTTCCTCCTAGCCAAAGGCATGATCTCTCTCATGTCTTAAACCATTCTTTGGTTGGCCCCTCTCTCATTAGAGGACACTCATCTTCGACAAATTGACTAAGGAATGACTTGTTAATGCTAAAATGAGTAAATAAAATTGAATCAAGTAAAACATGAACAAGATAAGCATTTGTGTTGCGTTGCATGTGTTTGGATCAGACGTTAATCCAAACACAAGAAAAGTATGACGTTTCATACTCGAAGTGATGAAACGTGTCATGTTTCTTGGTCGCCATCACCCTTGATCATGCATGATAGGATGGTGGCCATTTGAGTCTTATGTGCACATTCAATAAGCTTGTACAAGCTTAGTTCTTTGGCTATCATGCATGAAAGTGCTTGATTGGTGGCATGAGAGCCAAGTGTCGCACTCCTTTTGAACTTCAAAAATGATAAGGAGTGTAACAGTACACACATTCCTTGAAAAATTCATTGCTTTGCCTATGTTGCTCTCTGTTGCAGCAAAACCAAAAGCCTGGAAAAGTAGGTGGCCGACCGGCCACTTATACTAGCCAACCGGCCAGTTAAGGTGGCCGACAGCCACTTTTTGTGGCCAACCGGCCACCAGTCCATTTTTGTGCAAAGTGTTCCTGTTTTGGAGTAAAAGTAGTCTAGAATGTTGGTTCGATGTTTAGCGATCAAGGCGAGTGCAAACAGAGGCAGCCGGTGGCAAGGCGATGAATTTCTAAGAGGAAGCAACCGAGGATGCATGTCTCCCTCGCCCGCGAGGCCAATTCATCGCTTTATTAGCTAGTTGTAGTTGATTATTACATGTGTTGTAATTATTCATTCAATTTGTTTTGTAATATTCCAATTAGCTTAGCATAGCTAGTTATTCGATTACGTTGTAATAATTAATTAGCTAGAATAGTTAATTAGTTTGTTTTGTAATAATTAGCTTAGCTTAGTGTAGCTGGCTTAGCTTATTTATTTGGACCCTCCTTCTCGAGGGCGCAATGTTGTAATAAGTGTGTGTGTGTGTGTGTGCATGTCTTCCAACCCCACGTCTTTCTCCCTTTTATTTAACTGCTTTCGATGGTTAGATTAGGGCACGTTTTGATTAGCATATCTTATGCTTGCATGTTTGCATCATTCATTTGTCTTGTATGCACCGAGGCTCAGCACATCATTCAAACTGCATCGTATTTCAATAGACTTATTTGAATAGGTGTTTAAAAGCATGTTGTTCGAGTTGAATCATATGTCATGATTAGGTAGCTAAACCTATCTTATCACATTATTGCATGTGTTGCATCAGGCATTTTGTATAGTTAGGATCATGCACATATTTTTGTCTCTAAAAGTCTATTTATAGTGACAAATGCAAAATTTTGTCTCTAAAAGTCATTTTTTGACTTTTTCGTACCAGCCTTTTGGGACAAACTTCGCGACAGAGAAAATTAGTTGGCTAAAGTTTTTCCCAACAAATATTACACTTTTAAGGACGCAATAAATTTGTCCCTAAAAAGCTGATTTCTTGGATCAACCTCAAGGTTTCATTGATTCTTCTTTTCCCTTTCATGTTTGTAAGCTCAAAAAAGCCTTGTATTTTTTTTGATCGACAAAACTCAAAAAAGCCTTGTATGGTCTCAAACAAGCTCCTCGAGCTTAGTATTTCAAATTCTCTAGTTTTTTACTTAGTCAAGCATTTTGTCCGAGTCATTCTGATTCTTCTTTGTTTGTGAGGAAGACTTCTACCAGCATCACTGTTATTCTCATCTATGTGGATGACATCCTCTTGACAGGCAGCGATTCCCTCTTGATTGAGGCCGTACTTTAGCAGATGCATGTGGTTTTTCCATGAAAGAGTTGGGCTTTCTTTCTTATTTTCTAGGCATCTCTGTTCAGTCTCACTTTCATGGTTTTTTCTTGTCTCAACAAAAATATGCTGGGGACCTCTTGCTTACGACTGGTTTAGCAAATTGCAAACCTTGTTCAACTCCCCTTGGTATATATTCTTCTATAAATCCTATTGATGTCGTACCCTTTTCCCGACCATCCTTTTACAGAAGTCTAGTTGGGGGTCTGCAGTATCTAACCATCACTAGGCCAGATTTGGCTTTGGTTACTAATCAAGCCTGCCAACACATGCAAGCTCCTACTAATGGTCATTTTTCTCAGGGCAAGAGGCTTGTTCGATATGTTAAAAGGACTTTAGATCATGGGCTCTCTTTTAGCCCAGCTCCATTTACTCTTCAGGCCTTTACTAATTCCAATTGGGTTGGGCATTGTTTGGATCATCGATCAACTTCTGGTTTTTGTGTCTATCTTGGTCCTAACCTCATTTCTTGTTCTGCTAAGAAGCAACCCATTGTCTCTCGTTCTGACCATCTTTTTACAGAAGTCTAGTTGGGGGTCTGCAGTATCTAACCATCACTAGGCCAGATTTGGCTTTGGTTGCTAATCAAGCCTGCCAACACATGCAAGCTCCTACTAATGGTCATTTTTCTCAGGGCAAGAGGCTTGTTCGATATGTTAAAAGGACTTTAGATCATGGGCTCTCTTTTAGCCCAGCTCCATTTACTCTTCAGGCCTTTACTAATTCCAATTGGGTTGGGCATTGTTTGGATCATCGATCAACTTCTGGTTTTTGTGTCTATCTTGGTCCTAACCTCATTTCTTGTTCTGCTAAGAAGCAACCCATTGTCTCTCGTTCTTCCACCGAGGCAGAATACCAGTCTATGGCTCATACAGCAGTTGAGCTTTGTTGGATTCAACAGCTTCTTTTTTATCTATCCATTTCTTGTTCTCACAATCCTCTCCTATGGTGGGATAATGTATCTACTATGGCCGGATAATGTATCTACTATGGCCTTAGCCTCTAATCCTGTGTTCCATTTTTCGTTGAAACACATTGAAGTTGATTGCCATTTCATTCGAGAAAAAGTGTATTCCAAACAAATTTCTTTGTCTTACATTCCCAACACTGACCAAGTGGCTGATATTTTTACTAAGCGTTTGACTTCATCTCGTTTTCATTATCTGAAGGACAAATTAATGGTGCTTCCTTGCCCCATTAGTTTGAGGGGGGGATGATAAGAGTATTGAAGAGAAGTGCCAAAAGGCTTTACTTCAGCCACAACTATAGCTACAGCATCAGCTGTATCAGCCACAGCTATAGGCGCAGTTACAGAAGAAATCAAGACTTCAGCATCAGTTTAAGCATGTGCAGAATGTAAAGGATAAACCACCTAATCAAAGATAGATAGATATAAGTACAGATACAATAGTTATAATGGATGTGGTTAGTCGTGTAGTAATTAGTTAGTTAGTTAAAGCAAATTGAAAATCACTTGTATAAATATTTGTAATGACTCTTATAACTAATCAATCAATGAAATCTTCACTTATTGTTACTTTTCTATGTGACATGGCCAAGTCTCATGATTTTTTATTTTTTATTTTTTTAAAATAATGAATTTTACACACATACATAATTTTTATTGTATAAATAAATGCAAGAATTCAAATAACATAGTGAAATAAATCCAATGATAAATAACATTTATCAAAAACAAATATTCTCCAACTACAAATTCATTTTGACATGGCAACAAAGTAAACGGTATCATTTTTTTTACCTCTCTTTTGATGAAAAATTATTAAACACTTCGGTGAATTGAAAAACTAATTCAAGATTTTGAAATTTATTATTTATGAAAATTCAAGCACAGTTTAGGTGTGCGCACACACACACACAAATTTAGTAGTAATTAGTTAGTTAGTTAAAGCAAATTGAAAATCACTTGTATAAATATTTGTAATGACTCTTATAACTAATCAATCAATGAAATCTTCACTTATTGTTACTTTTCTATGTGACATGGCCAAGTCTCATGATTTTTTATTTTATTTTTTTTAAAAATAATGAATTTTACACACATACATAATTTTTATTGTATAAATAAATGCAAAAATTCAAATAACATAGTGAAATAAATCCAATGATAAATAACATTTATCAAAAACAAATATTCTCCAACTACAAATTCATTTTGACATGGCAACAAAGGAACTTCTCTCTTTTTGAGAAATTTCAAAATCTTTATTTGAGTGTTAAGGAGCTTAACTCAAATTTCTTAATTATTAACCATCCTACAGTTCTTTCTTATCTCTCCATTTGATCCAGTCAAAGGACTAATGTCACCCATCTTAACCATTGCTGCACCAAAGTCGGAGTTGAAGGATTGGGGATCTCTGATGTATTGTTTAACGAGGGAATCAGTTGATCCACCATTGTACAACTCTTGATCTGAGTGAAGGAGACCTTTTTGCATGATCAGGTTCTTGTAGTAATTGTTGTCAAAAAATGTGGGACTTTGAAGGTCAAGAGGAGCCAAATTGTTGTCTGCAGGACTAGGGCTAGTAGTATTTGGACATCTAACTTGCCTTGTCATTGCAAAGGAACTATCAATATTGGCATCGCCATAAATACGAGCTTTGAAGACTGTACACCTTGCTTGGCCTATTGTATGTGATCCTGGTTCCAAAACGATGCCATTTTAGAAAGTAAGACACTAACAAATATTGAGATATTGGCACCCTTCTTAAGAGGCCCATGATGACATATATCCCGAAAAAGATGTTTGTCTTCTGTCACGTGACTTTCAGTCATACGATCCAATTTTTAATTCAAACAAAATCAAATCGGGTGGTTGTCAATAATTGTACAAAGGAATGGACACTTGGAGACCGGGGATCTGAAACCCCTATTTAGCAGCTTAAATTTTAAACAAAAATGCTAGGCTTCAGGAAAAATTTTCAGGAAAACCTTCAGGAAAATGGAGGAAAATGGAGGATGGGAGGAGGAGGAGGAGGAGGAGGAACTGGAGGGGCTCGGTCGTCTGCCCAGCCGCCGTCGTCCGCCCTCCGCCTCCTTCCATTTTGATGGCCCCCTCCAGTTCCTCCTCCCCCTCCTCCTCCTCCATTTTCCTCCATTTTCCTGAAGGTTTTTCTGAAATTTTTTCCTGAAGCCTAGCACCTCTCAATTTTAAAAGTAGATAATAGAGAGAGAGAGAGAGAGAGAGCACCTGATAGAGCAACCAAATCCTTGGTGGAAAGGCCAACATTGTTGAAGGTAGATATGAGTGTTTGGAGGCTAGAAGTCGGACTTGGGAGTGCACCACCATTGGCAAGTTTAAAACTCGCTGTTCTAGAATCCCTACGTCCAAGTTTAACACCCCAAGTTGGCCCTCCAAGCTACAACAAATTACATATCAACAAAGAGTAGAGTACAAACCAAAGGCAACCAAGCCATACCTAGTAATTTAGGAAACTTGACATTTGACACAGAGATGGAAAATACTTACAATAACAGTAGAGTCACGAGCTGCGATAGCTACAATATCAGCACATGAGACTATATTAGGACAAGCAGCCTCCACTTTGAACTTAATATCATCAATTACATTGTATCCCCTAACAGATCCATTATTAGGACCTGCAGTCTTTTCTCCTCTAAATGATGAAGTGTCGTCAAGGAGTATTGATCCATCACAACCCTATTATCAAATATGAGACAAGCCCATAAAGGACAAGAAAGTTTGTCAAAATATACTCTTTTGAACAAGAAGAAACTGTGTATTCATATTCACACAATGGGCTAACACCGAACCAAAGAGCTTCTAAATACACTAAGGGGTTATTTGGGGTGTTCTAAATAAGTGCACTTTTTGCCTTTTTGGACTAAAAAGTTGAGAAAAAAAATATGGATGTTTAGGTTAATTTTTTGACTTTTTACGAAAAAATGTGTATTAAAAAATTGTATAAATAAGTGTGTAGAAAAAGTTAGTGGAGTAGGCGTACAGGTTGGGTAGGGTAGTGGGTTGGTTAGGAGATGGGAAATGATTGCCTCCTTTTCGGACTTGAATTGGTCGGTGTTGTTTGGCCCGTGGGGACCCACCACAGGTCCCGTTTTTGCTAATTGAAACCATTCAATGTGTAAAACTCGTCGAGTACTATATGTTTACAAAAAATCACGTTGATTGGATATCGATAGCTATCTGATCGTGTTAATTTTTTTTATCAACTATTACCTATAACACTATCCATTTTTTATACAAAACTGATTTGATCATGTAGTTAGCGATATCCGATTAACGTGATTTTTTATAGCGTGTAGTTCTAGACGAGTTCTACACATTGAACGGTTCGGATTATCAAAACGGAATCTGTGGTGGGCCTCCACGGGCCCAACATTACCGTCCGACTTAGTGATTTTATATATGTGATTTTTTTTTCCCTATCACGGTACTAAAGGGGTCAAATCAATCCCGAAAACTGTGTAAAGTTGGTTTGATTAAAATGTTATGTATATTACCAAGCTAGACTTAAATCAATTTATATTTACACCCATCACAATCATTGTAAACCTTGTACTTTAAGAAAAAAACACTCATACATGTTACCATAGATATGACTTTGGTAAGTATATTTTGAAACTCCCTCCCAACCAACAGGGGTTTTGCAAATCTCAAATGGAATAATCTAACCTTTAGGGAAGTGTACAACCTTATATATACCGAAAAAGTTATGCACCCAAAACAAAGTACACTAAAAGTGCCCAAAAAATAAGGTGTATCATGTATATGTAAATTTGATGTGGTCTAGGTCACATTTATAATCTGATTAACAGATTTTATTTTTTAAATATTTTTTTAAGATGCACTTAATACTGGACAAATACAAAATATGTATATATATATATATATTTTAATAATTTGGTATCCGGCCACTTACTAACATAATTTATATATATATATATATATAGCCCTTTTTTGGTGAGATAGTTTGAACTAATTTAGCTCACTAAACTATAGACGAAGTCATAGTTCACTTACAAACATTTCACTTTTTAACATTATTATTTCACTTTTTCGCTCATAAAATTATTTTCAAAAAAAATAAATTATTCCTAACGAAACATTTTTAACCAGATTAAAATAGTAAATAAATAAATAAATAAAGAACAAAAGCTAAACAAGTTCTTCCCAAACATATGTAATAAAAAAATTATTTTCCCAACTTTCTATATCATTGACGTATTAATTAACAGTTAACAGACTACAATAGTGGCAGCATATATATATATTTAAAGTGAAGAAGAAGAAGAAATTACTTGAACGAAGCAGTCATGGAAGTGGAGGCGAAGAAGAGAAGCACCCATGCGCTTTTCCTTTGACACCGCAGAGGCAACCACTGATCTCACAATCTTGTGTACATTGGGACATGTCTCCGCGTAGAAATCAGTGCAAAGTTGAGCAGAGGAGGTGCCCATTACGAGCACCACCACCATTACAAAATTCACAAGCACTTCAGAAGAAGATGAAGAGGAAGTCATTTTCACACTTCCAGAAATGTGGAGCGTAAAAAACACAAAAACAAAACAAAACAAAACAAAAAATGATGAGAATGGGTTGAAAAGATATGCCTGTTGTAGGTTGTATTTATAGAATTCAATTGGTACCTGGTTGGCACCGCGGGAGAACATCTTTTTCACTCTCGCGTGGAATTATTCGTCTACTTTTTTATACAATAAAAAAAGTGCATATGTAAGGGCGTGCGCGGTGTAGTTCGGGCGGTTTGAGAGTAAAATTACAAATTGAATGGTGGGTTAGCGGATTAGCGGATTGACAAATTGCGATTTAGGTGGTTTTTGACGGATTAGCGGGTTGAAGAATATTCTAACTAATTATCACACATTTGCATAATATATAACACTAATTTGTATAATAGTTTTTAAATATATAACGCAATGTAATTTTATATAATATGTTTCATAGATATAATCACTTATTTGTAATAAATTTCATATCTTAAATATCTCTGACACTCATTTTTACATTGATATTTTATTAGAAGTTAAAAAATATATACGTATTAACTATAATGGAGCGGAGCGGTTTAGAACATGGATTATCAGTTGGCAGATTATAAATTTTAAAATTAAAACTGCGGTTAGCGGTTAGAGCAGTGCGGATTGATGCGGATCGGTGCGGTTTTAACGGATTGGGCGGTATTTTGCACAGCCCTAGTACTATGTGTATCGTATACGTGGTATTTTTGGTAAATGATAAATTGCATCACAAACTGTTTGTGTTATGTTTTACGGTAGTGCTACACATATTAATTAATATATTAATTAGTATACATATATATGTTATGGCATTGTTATTTTAAAATTATGATCTCACCCATTATATAAATTATAAAGACTTAAAACCTCTAAAAATATGCTACATCATTTGCTAGTACAGTAATTAATATACCAATTGATAACATTGTTATTCTATTCTTTTTATCTAACAAAGATAAATCAACATGTTTCACTCATAAAAAAATTTCACTACTACAAAAACAAATAAAAATCACACTTTTTTTGTGTGATGTATGTTATTTAATCACACCTTTTAAATTTTATTAAAGTGTGATCTTTGGGAGTGTGATTAAAATAGGTCATTTTTAATCACACATTTTAACTGTAATTAAAAATATTTAGATCACACCTTTTAAGTGTGATTAACAACATTTAGATGTGAAAAAAATAAATTATGTAAAAATAAATTATTTACTAGAAAAAAAAATACCACTTTTGGCTACTAATTATTTTTTAGTCGTTAAAAAATTTAATTCTCAGGGTAAAATTACCACTTTGGGCGACTAAAAATAGTCGCCAAAAAGTCTCACTTTTGGCTACTAAACATCTTTTTAGTCTCCCAATGCCTCAGTTTTGGCTATTAAATTTTTTTTAGTAGCCAAAAAATCTCACTTTTGGCTACTAAAATTTTTTTAGTCGATAAAAGTCTCACTTTTGGCGACCAAACATCTTTTTAGTCACCCAATACTTTACTTTTAGCTATTAATTTTTTTTAGTCACCAAAAAACTTTACTTTTGGCTACTAATGCTTTTTTAGTAGCCAAAACCTATACTTTCAGCGACCAAATGTGCTTTTTTAGTCGCTAAAGATGCTTTTTCTTGTAGTGGAGTGTGATTAAATATATATATATATATATTTAAAAAGTGTGATTAAAAAGCAGTAATATATATATAATCACACTTTAATTAGAATGTGTGATTAAAAAATATATAAATAATCACACTTTAATTAGAATGTGTGACTAAAAAATATATATATAATCATGCTTATTTAAAAAGTGTGATTAAAAAGTAGTAATGTATATATAATCATACTTTAATTAGAATGTGTGATTAAAAAATATATAAATAATCACACTTTAATTAGAACGTGTAATTAAAAAATATATATCTAATCACACTTATTTTAAAAGTGTGATTAAAAAATAGTAGTGTATATATAATCACACTTTAATTAGAATGTGTGATTAAAAAATATATATATAATCACATTTAATTGAAAAGTGACATAAAAAATAAATATTATTACACTCAATCAAATTATGTGTGATTAAAATATCAATCTAATTTTTTTTATCACACTTCCAATAAAAGTGAGATATTTTTTTTTTGTCAAAGTGTGATCTTTAACTATTTTTGTTGTAGTGTTTGTTACATACTTGGTTTAAAACATTAGATAACCAAATGATACATGATATTTTGAGACTATTGAATAATAACTTCTCTTCTAATTATCGATTTTAGTTGAATATGAAATAGACGGCAGAGAAGATTAAGGTAAATTACAAATACACCCTCTAAAACTTGCTTAAAATATAGATAGCTCTTGTGGTTCTAAAAATTAAAAATACTCTCTTATCATAATTTTTTATTTAATAGAATTAATAGAAAAATAAAATTTCTAATACTTTTCTATACGACAATAAAATTACATGAATTTCTCATTAGAATATATTTAACATAATTAAATATTGTTAATTGACCTGATAATTTATTAATAGAAATAATCATTTGTTATATAATTAGAAACTCAAAGGAATATGATATAGTTTTTAAAATTATATGGAGTAATTAATATTTCAAGTAAATTTTAAAAGATATATTTATAATTTACCCAAAAAAATTATGTGTGCTTTGAGTTGTTTTGAAAAATAGGTCAAAAGGTGATTTTTTGATGTTTTTAAATATATATATATATATATATATAGAAAAATGATAAGATCTAAAATGAATTAAAATTTAAAAAAATAACTTTTAGTTAAATTTTCAAAATAGGCCTTTGTTTGACACTCCCAACTTGCCTAGTCTTTATCTACCAGATTAGGTCATTACATCCGCGCAAGACTTCGCGATACTGGACAATGATATTCAGATTTTTCATTTAATCTTTTACGCACCCCACATCGTCACTTATTCAACAAATAATAAAGAGCATGATGTGACTATTTCTTAAGAAAATACAAATTAAAAAAATCACCACATAACCGTATATCATTAAACAGACATATAGTTAGGTTAAAATTCTCACTTGATAATTTTTATCGCTTATGAGAGACAAGATGGCCGGGAAAAAAAAAAAAAAAAATTGTGTGTGAATATCATCATTTTTCTTAATATTTTGAAAAATAATGAAATTATTATCCGGTGAGATTCATTGCTACACATACAGAAAATTAAAAAATAAAAGTAAAAATGCCATTTGACAATTTTAATTATAGAAATTTGAATATAAAGATTTGACAGCTAGGACACTTTCAAAAATCTTCCAAAAAATGTTTGTTAAAATTTTACATCAAACATTTGAGATTTTGAAGAGTAGTGCATCTAGGCAAAATAAAATGATTGGTGCTAATTTTTTTATTAAATATTTTTATTTTGAGGGACAATAAATGATGATTCACTCTCTGACAACACCATAACTCAACCTATATGCCATAACTATCGGTTAAAAAAAAAAAAAAAAAGCAAACAAGGAAGAAGAAGAAGAAAAAAAAAAGCATTTAGTGCGTTTAGTTTGAGTTTTTTGAAAATTAAATTTTTTGAAAATTGAGTTTTTTTATTTACGTATTCTTTTGTTTTTAGTGAATATTTTTTAAATTTTAAATATTTTTTTTACTTTTTTAGATACACCTTAGTTAGATGTATCTAAAAAGTAAAAAATATTTTAAAAAATTAATAAATACATAAAAATATAAAAAATGTACTGAATTCTTATATTTTTTTTTATATTTTTGGTATTTAGAGAATTTTTAAAAGGTTTTTTTCAAATTTTTTTTTACTTTTTAGGTATATTTATGTTAGATATGTCTAAAAATTAAAAAAAATATATTTAAACTATTTTACAGCTCGACCCCCGTAATAATCAGCGAAGTGGCAATCTTTGAAAGCATTAACATCACAAACTTCTCTGCATGGTTCGATTCGGGTTTGGATTCGCATCTAATAAACTCATAGCCTCACTGAAATAAAAGTACGAAAATAAATACATCTGAAAGGAGTTTTGTCAAACGGAGTTGCCAAGAATAAAAACCTAACAATGATTATGGCTTTAATTATTATTATTATTTTTCAAGCCAAATTGATTGATTGTTGGCTAAACATAGCCTACGAACACGTTTATGCGAAATGAAATGCACATGGGCATCAGTTTTTCTAAAAAGAAAAATGCTATTCTTTTAAAAAAGTTATTAAAAGTTTTTTTTTTTAACTAAAATAATGTGGTAGTGATATTTTTTTAATTAAAAAATATCTTGATGAATTGTGTATTTTAAATGATAAGTTCACAACATAACCACGTTATAAATTTCTTGTATATTTTCCATGTTATAAATTTTCTATTTTAATGATGGAGTTTATTTGTTCTTATTATAGGGGTCTTTTTGGGAAGAAGTTAAAAATTTTAGCTTTTTGACTTTTTAATTTTTTTATACAAAAAAAAAATCACAAAAGCCAATTTTTAAGTTAAAAAAGTTGTCCAAAAAGTCAAAAAACTAAAAAATTAAGGTTACGTTTGGTAGAGTTTTGTAAATATGATTTGAGAGTATGAGTTGTATTTTAAGTTTGTGAGTTACAGAATTATGATTTGAGTATAGAAAATTTGTTTGGTTATGATTTTTGAATAAAGTGTTGAATTGAGTGTGGAATTGAGTTTTGAAAGTTTGATTTGACATGTGAAATAAAAAAATTTGTTTGGTTATGAATTTTAGAAAGAATTTTCAAAACTTAATTCAAATTGTTATAACTGATAACAAAACACACTACTTTCACACTATTGAAAATTATGATCAACACTCATGGCCAAACTCTTTTTAAAATTCAATTAAAAATATTTATTATTAACAGAAAATAACATTAATTAATTTTTTAATTGAAAATACGACAAAGGAAATAAATTTTTTTTCAAAAGAAATATTCAAAAAATTTAAATCATAAATATTTAAATAATTTAAATAATCTACAAAATTTAATAAGCAAAAAATTAAAATAAATATTCAAAAAATTTAAATCGTAAAAATTTAAATAATTTAAATATTCAATAAATTTAAATA